ATTATCCGATTACAAGTTCTAATCGATCTTTCTAGTACAAAGTTAAAATACAAAAGTTGTCTAGAATTACGTATACATGTCTCTGCCCAAATTTCATAATTTATCAAGGTCGTTTACTATTTTTCAAGATGTACAAATCAATACAATTCACACTACACCAATAAACTGATAATTAAATTCTTTATGCCTTAATTCCACCACTTTAGCCCTTCACTTTTGGCTTACACATATATCTCATATGCTTCTCGTATACCTAACACCACTCCGAAGCCAAACTTGCACAGGGATATCGTCCCGAGTTTGACCCACACTCTTCGGATGGTTAGTATATACGTACACGCGTAAATCAAAGCATTCGTCTACTCATGAGAACGAGGCAACAATATATATATATATACACAATCTCTCATCTACTCATGAGAACAAACATAACAATGCCAAGCCTAAGGCATTTAAATAAATCTCAAAATCCTCATTTTTTTTATACAACTCTTTCTTACCAACACTCAAATAAAATAACAATCCATGAAGTCATGGTGGAGTGTAAGGAATTTATCTATGAGTTCTAAGTTTATTTTAATTTCATATAACCATGAGTGTGATTACAATCATAAAATAAATACATATAAAAATCTTAAACCTTACATACACATCTAACCAAATAATGAAATCAATTTATCATCTACATGTAAATACAAAGTCAAACCAACATCGAATAAATTAAAAATAAATAAATAAAAACAACGAATTAAACATAAATTAAGAGAAGTGAATTTTATACCCACAATATTTTTTTAAAGATCAAAAAATCACTTAAACAATTAATTAAACCACCAAAGCAAAACCCTAATCTTTTTTTCTCCTTTTCTCCTCTGCCATCCCTGTCTCTTGGCTGCACTCTTTTATTTTTTTGTTTTCTTTTCTTTCCTTCTATTCCCCTAGGTTCCTTTATATATATATATATATATATCTAACCAAAAAGGCTCTAAATTATTTTCTTTTTCTTTTATTTTCTTTTCTCTTTTTTTTTTCCTCTTGATATTATAACCTAATCACTATTATATTATACAAATACACCACCATATATAAATATAAATATAAGATTAAATATGTATATATAACACATTATATATATATATATATATATATATATATATAAAATTAAATATCACGTTAAATTAATTGAATACCACATTAAATTCTCATGTAGTCACACAATTAATAAAACCAAAGATAAAATAAAATAATAATAATAAATAATGACTTACGAAAAATTAGGATTGCTACAAATATTCTAACATATCGGTTGTTTTGAAAAGATGGTTAAAAATTAATTTTTTTGGGCTTTTTTTGAAAAAACATGTAAAAAATATGAGAGATGATATGACTTAAAATGAGTTAAAGTTGAGAAGTAGCTAAGTAGCTACTAACTCACTTCCCAAAAGAGCCTTTTGTCACAAAAATAGTTCTATTGGCACTAAAATTTTGAAATCTTTCCATCGATAGGTTGCTGAAGCGTAGTGAGGGGACATGTGAGATGGCTTTTTGAAGAAAGACAGAAATCACAGGAAAAATTCAAATTGAAAGATAGTTAGTTGTTGCCAAGAGTAAGGGATGGAAGACCAAGTCAAATAGAAAATCTGTCAAAACGATTCCTAACATAAAGAGATAAAGGTGCAAAGGAGTAGAAGATCAAGGAGGATCATGGAGGATAACTGCATTGAGGGATGATCAAGGAAGTATAAAATGAGGACTTGAAGAATGACAGGATCATCAATCAAACTACTCACACGATATTAGCTTCTAATTAAGAGCAGTCAAATTAGCAACTTTATGAGTAGATTAGTAATAGTCTTTTCTTTTTTTTTCTTTTTTTTGCATTTCTTCTGCCGATTGTTATATTTTTCAATTCTTTATTCTTGTTTAAGTTCATGCAACTTATAGCAAGTGACAATTTATTTGAATAATACATATTCTTATCTGTTTTGTTTCTTCTTTATTTAATTACCTCTAAGGAAGTCCTTAATCTATTTGAGGCAAAGACTTCAACCACAAGTCTGATCTTTTTGTGTTTGTGTGAAAATTAATTTAAATCCATCAATTAATCACTGTTGACTACACTTAAACCAAATTTTTACTTAACAAGTTTGTAATATTTTATCATACTGTGCACAACATAATAATTTGTAACTTTTACTTTAAAGTGTAAACCATAGATTCATCTATTCATAACTTTTAATACAATGTAATGTAATACTTATAACATATCCTTTTTTTTAAGAAGCATACACAACAAATTTCTCCTAAAAATTTTGATAGTTCAAACCAAGATTTTTTATTCTTAAACAATAAAGATACAATAACCATATTTGTATATCATAAAAGGAAAATTCTAATATGGATATCCTTAAAAAGGGTATACCATATGCATCCCTAGTTATGTCATTTTCTTTCCTAGTTATGACAATTTTCTTATTTAGTTATGACATTATTTTAGTTATGACTCATGAGATATGTAGTTATGTCTCGTGTTGTATTTAGTTATAACAACAAAAAAACAAATTTAGTTATGACTCAGAAAATATAAAATTATGATATTTTATTTTTTTAATTATAAGGTGTATATAAGGTGTGTACCAGTCTTTCCCATCATAAAAATTGCTTATAATCGTATGTATTATCATTGCATTGACTTAAAAAGCCCCATCACTCATGTAGGTTACTAATGTGGTGACTCATGAAATAATAAATACTTTATAGCACACAAATATGATCATTTTCAAATTGTAGAATGTTACATATAAACAAATGTATTAGGGCATGTTTGGTTATCTTTTGAAACTATTTTCAGATTTTTTTTTTTTGGAAAAAATAGAAACTAATTTAATAAAAATAAATATCAAAAAGATATTTTTAAATTTTTAAATTTTTAAAAATTATTTCTATTCTTCCAAATGATAAAAGAGAAAAGAAAAATACTAGAGATACTAACAAAATTGCCAATAAATCTATCAAATCACTCATATAAGTGTGGGACCCACATTCATGTAGGATTCACACCCATGTGAGTGTGTGGTAGGTTTTTTGGTAAAAAGTTTGATGTCTCTAACATTGTTGACGAGAAAATTGGTGATAAATTTATATTTCCACCGCTATAAGCTATTAAGGGCAATGGTGGATTTATTGGGGACATAAGGACATTTGTTGGAAATTTGTTAGTCAAAAAGACATTTGTTGATCAAAAGGACTTTACCACATATCTGTTAAAATTTTTATTTAACTTTTTTGTTCAAATATTTTTTTTATTTGTTCAAATTCACCGAGCTTATTTTTTCCTATCTGTTGAAATTCACAAAGCCCATTTTTCTTATCTATTTGAATTCACCAAGTTTTGTTTTTCCTATCTGTTTAATTTTTTATTATATCTATTCAACTTCTGATACATACACACATATATATCTAGAGAGAGGAGATTGAGAGGTCTTATCTGTTAAAATCATTTTTTTAATCTATTCAAAACCCAATTCTCTCTATCTCTCTTTCTACAAACCCACTATCTGTTGAAAGAGAAAATCAAATCTGAGATCACACAGAGACATCTATTTAAGGAATGATATCAAAACTCAACAAACATTGTTCCAAATCTACCATTCCCACAATACTCAACAAATATATTCTAGATCTGAGACCACAAAAAAAGAAAATCCTGAAAGTACAACGATGAAAGAAACATCTGCTCTTTCTTTTACTATCATTTTCCTCATCTTCTCCTTCATCTACCTCCTTTATCATTCGTGCTTCTCATGACGCATAAGACGTCGACGACGGCACATCCGTCAATGGCGTGCTAAGGGAAACCTATGATGAGGTGAGGTGACAAAGGATGGTAGATCGTGACACCTTGAAACGTCCCGTAGTAATACTGTTGTGATGCCGAGGACTGTTGCTGATCGTCGACTTCGATGGCGAAGCCTTTGTTCTTCCCTCCTTCACTTATTTGTGTGTGTGTGTGTGTGTGTGTGAGGTTAGGGTTTCAAGAATGACAATGAGAGAGAAACAATGGGTGTGAAACAAAGATGTGAGAGAGAGAGAGGGAGAAAGAGAAATGAAGTTAATTTGAACAGATAGAGAAAGAAAGATGGAAGAGAGAGAGAGAGAGAGAAGTTTGATTAGATAAAGATGCGTGGATCCAAAAAGCGCGTGGACTATCCTTATAGACATTAGACTATCCTTATAGACCCAACAAAAAGATGTATAAATCTACAGATATACAAGTCTATAAATAAGACCTATTGCCTGAGCACCCAAGATAAAATTATATAAAAATATTAATAATAATTTTTTTTCCTTTTTTTTCACTAAATTCATTTTTAGTTTTTCAATTTTTTTTTTCTTCTGATAACAGATTTTAAAAATCAAACCAAACAGAGTCTGAATTTTTTTTACCACTAGACACGAAGCAATGTATTACACATATCTATATATTAATATGAACGCATATAATGGTGTAAGAAAATTTAGTGGAAATTTTGTTTTTGAAGATGATGTTGAAAATGGTAACAGATTATAAAAATCAAATCAAACCAAACAGAGTCTGAATTTTTTTTACCACTAGACACGAAGCAATGTGTTACACAAATCTATTTATTAATATGAACGTATATAATGGTGTAAGAAAATTTAGTGGAAATTTTGTTTTTGAAGATGATGTTGAAAATGGTAACAATTGAGTGAACTTGGTGACTTGGTCCACATGTCCTCCCAAATGATTCCAAACCTTACAAAACACACACTACCAAATGACATAAATAAAGTTCTTTCTTTCTCATATCAGACATTATAAGTAATCATATCAAATTAATTATTAATTTACTATTAATGTTTTGTCATTTTCCTAAATATTTAACAATAATTTTGTCGATCTAATGTACACTAATAAACTAGTTCCCACATGTTAACACCTACTATAAATTTCCACACTCCAACCCCATTCCCCACAACTCTACAAGCTCTTGAGCTCTCTCTTCTCGCTTTTTGTCTCACCAACTTTCTCCAGAGAATTTTCCTGAGAAAAAAATGGCTGGAAATTCACCTTGTGCTTCCTGCAAAATGCTGCGGCGTCGATGTGCCAAGGATTGCATCTTTGCTCCTTACTTCCCTTCTCATGACCCCCATAAATTCGCCATTGTTCACAAGATCTTCGGTGCTAGCAATGTCAGCAAAATGTTGCAGGTCTCTCTCTCTCTCTCTCTCTCTCTGAATCATATACATGTCTTGTACACATTTACACATCATACATATATCAGTGGTTAATTTCACTTTTTTTTTTCCCACCATTAAAACTATCAATTTCATCAACTTAGTTTATAGAGTTTTAAATTTTAGTTCATGTGATCTAATTGTTAGATTAATGTTATATAGTGTGAGTATGAAAATAAATGATTTGAATAAACTATTTCCCCTGTCATTGTGAAATAGAGAGTAGAAAAATGAGTGTTTTGTTATTTGCTTTAATTTGTTCAAATTTTAAAATAATTTTTTGACCTATTAAATTAGGTTTTATCGGTTACTCATTTAGGTAACTGTTTCCAATAGAACCATTTTAGCTAAAAAATAAAAATAAAAATGGAAACTAAATAGATGGAATTAAAATTTTAAAGATAAAATTAAGAAAAAAATGATTAGAATTACAGAGATAAAAGTAAAATTAACTTCATTAATCAATAAATCTATTGCTCATCGTTATTAATCTAATTTACAATAATGATACTGTCACATCATTCTGAAAGTTGTTTCTGTATAAAAATTCCGATGATATAGGAGATTCCGGTTCATCAGAGAGCAGATGCAGTGAGCAGCTTAGTATACGAAGCGAGTGCAAGAACAAGAGACCCTGTTTATGGCTGCGTGGGAGTGATTTCACACCTTCAAAACCAGGTGGCTCAGCTAAAAATGCAGCTCGCGGTGGCTCAAGCCGAGATGCTCTGCATCCATATGCAGCATGAGCCGGCCATACCGGCTCCAGAGTCGTTTGACCGAGTCGACAAATCTTTTCTTCTCCAAAACAACCTCCCACAGTGCCTCAATTTTGTCTCTTCTACTAGCAATGTAATTCAGGACTCTCTCAAGAGTGAGTCCTTGCTTGGACATCATGACATGGTTTCTTATTAGTGAAAGGAAAAAAAAAAATTTATTTTTAGTCATTTCTAATCATTTTGATGATATTGATGATGATGATGATGAACCTAGCATCTGCAAACAAGGATAAATATTGATGGGGTCAACTCTAGCTAGCATGTGAGGCATGTAAGTGAAATAGTGTTTTTCTTTCTAAGTTATTAAACAAATTAATGAAGGTTACATGTTGGTTATGTTAATTAAGCTATGTTCCTTCAATTCAAGGGTTGGTGCCGTTCTAAACTATTCTGTAATTGATTTTTATAAAATATTTTAATACATAAACACTTTTTTACTACTCTTATAAAGAAATAGAGATAGTCAATCCCACATGAACTAATTAATGTGGATCTCATTAACTACCTTTTAATGATAAGAAAATACTATTTAAAATTTACTTAGGCTTCGTTTGGGAAGAATGGATTAGGTGAGTTTGGAACTGTTTTAGTCACAAAAAGACAGAATAAACTTATTAGTGCAATAAGACAAAACATTACATCCAACCCATAATCATTACATTATTTCTCTCACAAAAAGTTAAAAAAGCTAAAAAGTCCTTTCCAAATGATACTTTTTAGCCCTAGGCTAAAATAACCAAAAAACCAACTCACTTTTCAAACGAACCCTTACATTAAGGTAAGTTGCTTTTTTTGTTTTGTTACTTGCCACACTAGATTATTTCTAAAAATTTTATGAAACTTTTCTTAATATTTCTTTCATAAAACTTTACGTTACTCAACATTTGCTTTTTAATTATCTAAAATAAAGTCTAGATGCGGCTCAAGACTTGCAAACTCTATTGGCTCCGTTTGGTTTAGTTTTGGATTTATAATTTGAGTGTAGAGTTGTCATTTAAGTGTGGAATTGTGAATTAAGTTTTAAAAAGAGAAAAATTATTTGGTTATAAGTTGTGAAAAGAGTTTTGAAAATAATTTTTGAATTTTAAATTTTGAATTTTGAAAAGAGTTTTGAGTTTTGAAAAGAGTTTTCAGGTGTATTTTCAGTTTTGAATTTTTGAATTTTGAAATTTTTTGGATTTATTTTTTTAAAATATTAAAAAATGTTTAAGAATTTTTTATTTTAAATATTTAATTTTATTTAAATTTTTTATTTTAAATTTTAACCAAACATATAACTCAAAACTCAATCAAAAACTATTTTCAAAATTCATAATCAAATACATAATTTGAAACTCTATACTAGTTTCAAAACTCCACAATCAAATTGTAACAAAACACATAACAAAAAAAAAATTAAAATATTTACAAATACATTTATAAAATAAAATAAATATTATATATTTAAAACAAAAAAATAAAATGTTTCAATATTTAAATTTTTTTTACAGCACACAAATGTATGAAATATAGTGCACATTAAAATAAATAAATATTTAAAATATTAAATATTAAATATTTACCCTAAAAAAATAAAATTAAGAAAATTTTTAAACATTTTAAAGAAAGAAATCCAAAAAAATTCAAAATATAACTCAAAACTTAAAATATAACTCAATTCAAAACTCATAACCAAACAAATTTTCTTTTTTCAAAACTCAACTCAAAACTCAAAACTCAAAAAATAATTTTAAAAAAAAATTGATTTTTTTTTTTTTAAAGTAAAGTTTTGAAAATAATTTGATTTTGAGTTTTAAACAGGCTATGTTTGGCATAGGCTTTTTTTTGGGGGGCTATTTTAGCCACAAAAAGACAAAATAAACTAGAAATCTAATAAGATAAAATGTTACATCCAAATCATAATCATTTTTTTTCTCATAAAATTCAAAAAAATCAAAAAGTCCATCCAAAACGAGACTTTTTAGCCTAAGGCTAAAATAGTCAAAAAACCAATCCCATCCCAAACGAAGGCTGAGTTTTAAGTTGTGTGTGTGGTTATGAATTTTAAAAATAATTTTTAAATTGAATTTTAAATAGTTTTAAGTTGTGTGTTTAATTTTAAATTTTAAAAAAAATATCAAATTTTTTTTTGATTAAAATCATAATTTTAAAAGACAACCAAACACCGTATATACATTTCCTACAATTTTATGTACTATGCATAAAAAATTGTTACATCTTGTGATTGGTTTTATGTACTACACACAATGCACCGCATCATAAAAAATTGTTACATCTTGTGATTGGTTTAAAATTGTGTGATGGATCCCATTTACAGCGATGGCCACCATAATATTTTAATCAATCATAGTATGTATTTTATTCATAAATTGCATGAACAAATTTGGACTTTAAAGTAGGTTAAAATTTTTATATTTAAGAAGATAGTTGAATTATTTTATAATTAAATGTGATATTTGTGACAAAAAAAAATAATTATAGATTTAATGTGACATTTTATCTTATTAACTATTTTAATTTATTTTATTTTTTTATAAATTTTAGCCAAAAAATAATCTAAACCCAACTTGCCAAACACCCACAGAGAGTGCTAAGCAATTTCACCATAGAAAAATTACTCGTCTTTTTTTGAGGAAACTCACCAGACAAGCCTCAGTTACATCACTATGCCTATGATTACACAATTTTTGAGACTTTTAACTTCTTTTTTTCTTGTCCTTTTTCTTTTTTGAAATTAGAGACTTTAACCTTACAACAGTACAATTTTAGCATCTGCAATTGTAAGATGGCTATAATATGATTAAAGTTTTCTCACTTTTTAAACTCAAAAAATAAAAAATTGAGAGAGGATTCTCTCTAATAAAGTGGAGGTTCAATTCAGGAATGTGGACCATCACCTGTTTCACTTTGATAGCTGGAGTCATTTAACTTAGGGTTTTGATAGAGATTCCTTCCAATCACCATCCTCTCCAATCACCACCCTCTACACACACGTGGCGAGTGGTGATTAGAGGAGAAAAGAAAATCTGACCAATCAGATCAAGAAGGGGTCAAGGGGTAGGGTAAAAAGGGGGTCTCGGTCTTTTTCCTTTAACTTATAAGTCTTACTGTATAAATTTACAATATTTTTTCAATTTTTGTCATTGTCTACCAACCAATAGCTACCACATGGCATGCAGCCATCCGGTCCTAAATTTTTATATATTCTTCGGTATGGTCTTGAAGTACATATGAAACCAATTTTGCTACATACAAAATAAAAAATAAAAAAGCTATGCAGAATTTTAGAGAGAATTGAAATGTATATATGAGCGAAATTTATTCAGAGTATAGCCCACAACACACTAATTTTAAAACGACACCCTAAACTCTGGTTTTGGGTAAAATTTATAGTTTTATTTTCTGAGTAACTAAAATTATTGATATAAAAATGCTCATGAGTGGTAAAAAAAACTCTAAATCTTCAATCTCAGTAAGCTAAGCAAAAGTGTTTGGATGTGTAGACATATACCATATATACTTGCGTAAGTTCTCACAAATATATATAATTATAAAATCGCATAAGTTCCACAAATATATATAAGTTCTCTCACAAAATCGAGTAAATTTTCACAAACATACGTAAGTTAACCCACAAAAACTTCTCACAAATTTCTTGCGTAAGTTCTTACAATATATATTAGTTACCTCACAAAATCACGTAAATTTTTAAAAATATAAATAAGTTTACCTAATTTTTTAAAAAAAAATCATAACTTATATATATATATATATATATATTTGTGAGAATTTATACAAGTGCCTACACACTTAAGAATTGCCATTCTTTCTAAAACTATGTTTGGTTTTGGCTTTTTGGATAAAAAAGCACAAAAGACAAAATTAATTACATAAGTTAATAAGACAAAATATCAAATTCTAACCATAATCATTACACTTTTTCTCTCATAAAAGTCAAAAAAGCTAAAAAAAAAAAACCAAACGAGAATAAAAAAGACAAGCTAAAATAACTAAAAAATCAAAAAGCCAAACTATTTTAACTCTTCCAAACGAAGAATAAGTGATTCACGTGGGTGAGCAGTGCAAAGAAGTGCTCATCAGTTTATAAAAAATGCACATAAGTGGACAAAGTTCTATACATTATGTATGTATTTAATTCAATGATAACGTGATGTTCTAAATCCATCTCTCAAAACAATTATATGTCCAATCAATGAATAAATGTTCAAAATTGAAAAAAAAGAAAGAAAGATAATAATTAAAAAACAAAACAAAACAAAAATAAGAAGGTGGTAACAACTAGTGACTTTAAAAGATTCCTCTCATTCACTTTGTTTAATGTAGAAGCATTTCCAAAAGTCAATCCCTTGATGACTTATGATCAGTATAGCTAGCTGGAAGGTCTTTTGATCCTATGTTTTTATATTTAGTACTGATACTGATCAATAGTTTCTTCTTCACTTTGTTTTTGTTTTGTTCTTATTTTGACAGTAACATAACATTATATATGACTTCTTCCACCTTCCACTGAGATCATGTTATTTGATTATTGCTACAAATGATGTTCTTAATTTACAACAATCATGATCAATAAACAGCTGTTTAACATAGCAACGGTAACAAAAAAAATCCTAACCTAGATGATGGAAAAGACATGATAATGATCCTCATAAACACGTTAACTAAAACCCGTGAAAAAATCAGCATAAAAAAAAATATATATCAAGCAAAGTATCTTAATTGTCTATGTAAGTTCATTCTGCAACAGTTGCTCAAATAGTCTGTGGTGGGGTCATGGCGGCATTGTAGAATTTAGGATATCATTAAAAATGTTACATTATGTCCAAAATTGAGCTTCAAATGTGACAAATCTTGGGTTAGCACATGAAACTTCCATGGAGGATTAGAGGAAGAAAGAAAGTAGAGAGAGAATCATATAAGTTGAATATGTCCAAAATGGAGCTTGAAATGTGACAAAACCAGGGCTAGTACATGAAACTTCCATGGAGGATTAGAGGAAGAAAGTAAGTAGAGAGACAGAGAGTCGTAAGTTGAAAATGATTGATTGTATCAGAGGGGATAAAAGTGATGGAAAAAGTGAAAAGCATGACCGCTCTCTATCTATCAACCTCAAATTTTTTCCTTTTTTTTTTTTTTTTTTTTTTTTGGGTGTGTTTTAGAGCTGTGTGGAACCTATTGTCTTTTTGGGTGTTTGGCAACGGTTATTTTTGGGTTTTTTGGGTTAAAATTCATAAAAATATCAAATAAGTTACAATAATTAATAAGATAAAATGTCACATCAAATGCATAATTATTTTATTTTTTCTTTTATAAACATCGCATCTAACTATAAAAATTCTAATTATCTTCTCAAACATAAAAATTTTAACCAATTAAAATAATTAAAAATTAAAATAATCTACTAAAATAGTAACTTTCTAATCATCCACAAAAACTTGAGGACAATGCTTCCAACAAGAAGGTTGTTTGGCTTTCAAGTATCATTCCTTGGTTTCACTCCTTTATTGTTTCTTCATTTTTCTACAGATTAAAGTTATTGTCATGTGATATGTGTTTTTTTTTTTTTTTTTTTTTTTTTTTTTTTTTTTTGATAACTAGTGTGTAGTGTCAATTTAGGAGTGTTTTAGGAAGTTGGTAAAAAATTGACTTTTGACTTTTTATCAAGTTTTTTAGCTTTTTGAAATGTGATTTGGGAAGTTGGTAAAAAGTTGACTTTTTACTTTTTGGTTTAATATTTATTTATAGTGTCAAATCAAATTAAAATAACCAAAATATCTTTACCCAACATAAGAAATTTATTTTTTTATTTTTTTTTATAAGCTCTAATTTGTAATTTTACACTTGAGTTTTTATCACTTGCCAAACCAATTTTCTGGTGTTTTTGACACTTGCATTTTTGGATATTTTATCCAAAAACGTGACTTTTTGCTATGTTCTCAAAATGGCACTTAGGCACACATCGATTAATTTTAGAGTATCAATCCGATTGCCAGAGCAATCGCCCTACATGGATGGACTGACTCCAAAAAAAAAAAAACTAATTACGGCTAATAAGGTTAAGTTTGACATCTACTAAGCCTCCGTTTGGGAAGTGGGTTGACTTTTTGACTTTTTTAGCTATTTTAGCCTGGGCTTAAAGGCTTGGTTTGGGAAGGATTTTTTGGCTTTTTGGCTTTTTTGAGTTTTTTTGTGAGAGAAGAATGTAATGATTATGGGTTGGATGTGATGTTTTGTTTGTTATGGCTAAAATAGCCTATTTTATTTTTTGTGGCTAAAATAGTCAAAAAAACCCAAACCATGGCTTCCCAAACGAAGCCTAAATAATACAAAAAATTAAAAAATCGCTATCTTATTTAAGTCACATCACCTCTCTAACACATCACATCAAATCCAACCCAAATCCAATCCATATAAGTCAATAAATCAAAAACTATATTTTTTTAAAACACCCCAAGTCAACCTTAAATATTAAACCTGAAATCAAGATAAATTACACTGTGCCTATTAAGCTAACCGTTTAAGTTTCTATTGGAGTAACTTTGATTCAATGCAAAATGCAAAGAAAGCAAATCAATTTTTAGTTACAAACTTACGGTCAGCTTTTATGGGAAAAGACAAAAAGGAAGCTCAGTCAGTGATGCCGGACACTTTTTTTTTTGAATTGTGAGTTTAGAATAGAAAAAAAAGGAAATATTAAAAGGAAAAATAATATAATTATAATTTTTTAAATTATAATTAAAAAAATATCATAAGTAAATATATTATGAAACATAATTAAAGAATTCATAAATTATAATTAAAAAATTAATTAATTATAACTAAAAAAAATGACATAATTAAGAGTGCATATTATATATTTTTTTTAAAAGAATGTATATTATAATTTTTTTTTTTTAAAAAAAAAATCTCATCTATTTGGATGAGTAATAAAGATTTTTTTTAACAGTTTAATGGCCAATCTTACACTACGCTTAAATCAAGGGATTTAGTGAGTAACGGTAAAAAATAAAAGTTATGTTCGTTTTGCTTTTTAAAAAAAGGATTGGACTAATAATCTACAGGATCCATCTAACGAGTGTTTAATTAGACACCTAAGTGAAGAGATTAACTATTCACTAGTAATCCCCCATATGGTTGGACTAACAAAATTATGCGAGCGTTGGGATTAGAAATTGAGTAAGGGGATTAGTGAAATTTTAAATGATTTTTAAGCAAAAATTATATTTTTAAAAATAAAAAATAATTATAATATTAAAAAAATAATAAAACTTAAAAAATATTAATTTTATATATTAATATTATCTATAATATTACTAATCAAGTAGTGTACAAACAAACACTCTTTGTTACACATTTCCAACCTAATACTACTAACAATCTCTCACTCAATCTCACCGTAACATTAATTTCCTCTATCCTATGGAGCTAAACAAACGTAAAAATGTAATTTTTTTTTTAATGATATTTGATTTATAAGTGTGAATGATAGAAATGATATGAAAACTCTATTATTTTATAAATTTCATTTGTCACCAGTAGTAGTGAGATTTGGTGAGAAACAACTTGACTGATTATAATCGTTGTAACATCGATATTACCTACTAAAATATAAAGAAGAAAAAAAATCACCCATATCTCTATATCGCTTATTTTGCTTTCTTATTCATTCAAATATGATATTATAAAAACACAATATTTCTTCTTTTTTTCTCACAAAAACGAGAGATCACAATAATTTGTTTTATTTTCTCATCCAACTATCCAAATGAAATGTTAGTATTATACAAAGTACACAACTAATCATTTCATTTCTTATCAAATCTCACCACTTTTAATAAAAATTAAAACTTATAAATTAACATAATTCTCTTTCTTATTTTTCACAAATTCTACCCTGTACTATAAACCAAACACAAGGGTTAAAAAAGGTTCTATTTTCTCTTCATTTCTCACAAAATCACTTGATCCAAACGGACTGTGAGCGAAGCACTGGGTCCCAAACAAGGTGATTAGATGAGAAAACTCATACTATTGTCCCACTGGGGCAATTCCTTTGCTCCCATACACCCTATAGCTAAAAATACTTCATTTGGAATGTTTATTTATTACATCTAGAAAATAATATTTTACATTTTACATTATACATTTTATCCATGCTTCTAATTTTATTTTATTTTTTTCTATTTTCCCCCACTGTCGCCTTTGTTTTTACATAAATTTTATGTTTGTTTTATCATAGATCAAATAAAGGACCATAAATAATTGTTTTTACCAAAACCTAGCATTTTGAATAAATACAGAAATTCAATTGTTAGGAATGGAAATTGTCGTTGCTTACATTTGCAGCAAGAATCTAATAATTCAAAAGTGCTAAATTGGGTAACCATCTATAGGTTTTTAAAAGCAGAGGAATAAAGGTGTATCAGATGGGACTATATAGAGTTCGACACGTGTAACAGAACTTCAAATAGGTACTCATCTTTACAGCCAATTATATACAGTTCAGAAAACAATGTCAAAATGACATAGACCCAACTCTTATTTCAAATTTATTGTCATGGTACAACAATTTCCAAGTACATCTAACATAATTCATGTTCCCTCTAAAAACAAAAGATGAAAAAGTAACATAATTTACGAAGGTTTAACAGGCAATTGAAAAGAGGGAGAATCATCTACCTTTTGAGAAGTCCCGTCATCGCCACACACTTGGATGATGAATTTGAGATTAGAAGTCCCAGATGGAACTGAAAGATCAGAAACATAAAAGGCTTGGATTTCCGCCACTCCCAGATACTCCTGCGCCCCAGCTTCTTGATTTGCAAGCTTTTCAACAAAAATATTGTACTTTGGGAACAGAGAAGCCTTCCCATCTTTCAATTTCCAAACGATCTTAACACTAAGGGTCTTTGACCCCTGAGAACCTGAAGTCCAATTAATGTATTGACCCTCGACTAGCCATGAGGTAGATGGGGGGAAATCCAAGTTCTGTCCAGGAGTTTTGACAGTGAAGTGACCCAGAACGGCAAAATATTGAGTTGAACCGCGATCCAGGGAATTATCTACTCCATCTGGCTGGGATTTTAAACTCATTCTATTAAGTTCGGGCTTTGAATGGTAGCATACAGCATGAATTTCCGTTAATGTTGATCCATTCATTGTAATGCTACTATCCTGTATGACCCATCCTGGGTCGGTTTCTGGCTTTGTAACTTGACGAGGCATAATTATTTTACTGAAGTGGCTTGAAAACTGGTTCATGGTAAGTAAAGCATTTCCATGGGAAGCAAGAAGTACTGATGTTTTCTCATTCGTGGAAGAAGAAAATTTAAGAGAAAGGCCTATTAGAGAGCTCCCATCTGATTTAACCTGCACAAGGTTGTGGTGTCAACATCTACAGGAAATGAAAGGAAAAAATAATTCTTCTTCTTATGTATCTCATAGTGCTGTTTTTCAGGCAAACATATGAATTATTGGTCATTTATCATTACACATAATCTTGGGGATAAGACTGATGTTTTAAAGGAGTGTTATTCATTATTGGGGGCAAAAAAATCTCTGATCTATGAACTATAAAAGAAATGAAAATGACATTGAGATTGCAATGATGCAAATGCTAGTAAAACTGTAATGGCATGTTTGATTGGAAGGATTAAAGCATGGGATTAGGATTATTAATCCGTGGGCCCAATCATCCTATGTTTGTTTTGACATTTTAGTTTAGGACTATTAATCCAATGGATAATTAATCCAACAAATTTGTAGGATTATTAGTAATGGGGTAGGGGTGGGATAGTTAATACCACACTAATTTGATAGGATTATTAATACCTCACTATTAGTATTGTGAATCAAACATGACCTAAGTACTTGGCCCACCTGGTCAGCCCATTCTTTTCTTGTATCACAAGCACTACTTGGATGCATTTATAATACTTGGATGCATTTATAAGTTTTAACTATCTTCAAAGATTGTAAATGTGATGATTGGACGTCCTAAAGGAACAATATAAAAGAAATGAGGGCCAAGAAGTGGCTGGGGTACAACTATTGGAGGCCATATGACAATGGAGGATCATTTCTAGTGACTCAAAAAATGATATGATTCGGTCTCATTGTCCTATGTACTGGTCATTTTTGAAAATAAGACCATTTCCTTATGGATTTTACCTTTCTTTGTTTTAAACTAAGGTTTTGAAAAATGATTGCGGTTGTCGTAACGGTTGCGGTCACGTGGTATCAGTTGTAGGGTATAAAGGCCGCAACGTAACGATTGCAGTAACCAAAACCGTGTTTTTTTTTAAATTTTTCGCACACTTTAAAAAAAACTTACTGACACACATATATATATATATATATTTTCAAAATCACATTTATTGGAATTTAAAATAAAATTTGATTAATTTTTATTAATTTTTAAGTATGATCCAATATATTTCATATTTTTAAATCACTATAAAATGAACTTTTTACATTTTATTTCAATAGTTAATGATTTAAAAAATAATCAATTTTAAATGTCTACAAATTATTTTTTACCAATACCTGAACTAACTAAATAAAAAATATTCATAAGTATTAAATGAAAGGATTATAAAATAAAAATTGTGTCATAAATTAAATAAAAAAAAATTTATATAAGATTTTTTCTTTGGATTTTGATCACTTGAGTATTTGTTCTTTTTTTTTTTGTAAGCTTTTATTTTATTTTTTTTGGAAAAAATGAAACTATTCAGAATATTGTAAAAAGATGCAACGGTGTCTAATGGACCGTTACGGCCGTTATGGTACTGCTACAACTATTATGTAAAACCAAAACAACCGTTACTCATGTGAATTTCTGTCCTACCGCTATAGTGGGCCGTAACGGGTGGTGGTAACCACCACAACCGTTACGTAACGGCGTTACATAACGGTTGCGGCTACTTTTTAAAACCTTGTTCTAAACACAATCAAATCAAATGAATCCATTTTCTCACAAGACTTTCTGAAGGTTCCACTTCAGAATAAAATGCTTAAAATTACTTCAATCCAATTCAACTGATTATGTTTCTCAAATCAATTTGGACACAACTATATTAGAGTTCACATAGAAATAGCTGGGAAATGGACCTACCATTGATCCAACTATGGCAACCTAGTGAATTGAAAGGATCCAGCTCTCTCAGATTGAACCATCTCACCGCTGGATTGATCCATCGTTTCATCCCCTTGCTGCAGACTACCAGGCAACCCTCCAGCGATATTGAATATGTTTCTCAAATCAATTTGGACACAACTATATTAGAGTTCACATAGAAATAGCTGGGAAATGGACCTACCATTGATCCAACTATGGCAACCTAGTGAATTGAACTTGGGTTGTGATTGTAATCATATAATTTTACATTTCAGATGTTTTGTGTTATCCTAATGATTCTAACAAACTGGCTTAAATATTTATAATCAATTGAGAAGTATGGGTTTTGAGCAACAGCGGGCCTCCTCATTCCCCACCAACCATGCACATGACACATTCAAAACTTGGTCCCCAAAGGCTTGTACCGCATAATGTTCATAAAACTTTGGGCATTTGTCAATCAATTTATAATTAATCAGAAAAAGGTAGGACAACAATATAAATCAGGTCTCACATTGTCTTTGCAAGTTCAATTGACAAATGAGATGGCTTACAGAATATGTGAAGTGGACTGGTAAATCCCCAAAAAGAAGATCTCCCTGAAACAGCCTTCTTGTGAAATATGTGCCTTGCAGAGTTCCCTTAAATGTAATGCTGCTTCCTCCACTATAAGATGCTTCCCTACGACTATCATTCGAAAATACATACTCAATTCAACAGATAGAAAAATGTTTGATATCTAACTAAAACTGTATAAATAAATTAATGTAAAATGGAGAATTTTGAGAACAAATAATGTACTAAATAGGTCATGTAGCTGGGAGAGATATCAAAAGGCTTGATCACTACAAAGACTCATCATGCTTAGGTCCAAAAGAAGTCACAAAGAATCAATATTATAAGGATTCGTGCAGGAAGTGATTCTAGGCCCAAGTAGTGATTGTTTCATAGAATGTCTGAAAGGTAGGCTAACTGCGCAATATAAGGTGTATCGAATATCACTTTTGATCCTGATGGAAAAGTAGAATTTTCCTTCTTCAAAATGATCAAGAGAAAAGAACGGAATGCTGAAGCTTCATTGTTAAATTTAAGCATGTGAAAAAGTTTTCATGGACAGTAGTTGATTCATAGCATCTACTTTTCCACAAGTGACCACATCACAGTGTGATGGACTTATATTTCGAAGAGTAGAACATATATATGAGTAATAGAACTTACTCAACAAAGACTTCAATTGATTCGGAAGGTGGATCTTCAGAAAACTCAAGGAAAGGCTGTGATGAATCAAGTATAAATTAGAGGAAAAAGATGACATGCTCTAAAGGCAAACATAAATGAAACAGATAACAACGTATTCTGTTAACAACTAAACTTAACACCACACCATTGCACACACAGCATATCACAATATATTTGCCAATTGATTCAATTATATTTCTCCTTCAAATGCACAGAACAGAGGAAAAGCAAATGAAAATAGCCATTTTCTTTTCACTGTAATACTATTATCAAATTGCTAGCTTCAAACCTTCAATACAGGATTGAGATTTCACATTTACATCTTTTCTACTTCAACTCAATAATATTGATTTGTTCTCATATTGTCCTTATTGAAATCACTAACCTTATATTACTACTGTAAAAGCCCTGAAGGGAGATTTAAAATCAATTTCTAAAACTATTCTGGAAACAGAGAAAACTGACAATGACCAAAAACACATTGGCCAGATAATTTTTTAATACTTTTTTTGACAATGTCTTCAGTAATAATCAGCTTATTTGGTTTTAGTTTCAAAACACTTTTCAAAAAATTCTACCTCTTTATTTTTCATATTTTTTTGTTTTCAATGAATTTTTTTAATATTTTAAGCAATTTTTTTAATTTTTAAACACACCTAACATAAATACACTTAAAAAGTATAATATTTGTGAAAAAAATTCACTAAATACCAAAAACATACAAAAAAAAAAAAAAAAAAAAAAAAAACCACAATCAATTATTTATTATTGAAATATAAATTTATTTATATTGCACAAAAAAATCCCTTGCCAAAATTATTAAATATTCTACCACACTAACAAAGTTAAAGCAAAAACAATTTAAAAGAAAATTATTCCAACCATAAGTTCTGAAAAGCCATAGTGATATGCATATTCCGGAGAGAAAAACAAAAAAAGGGCAAATTACCAACACCCCTTCGAGGTTTGACTAAAATACGGATTCCCCCTGAGATTTGGGAGATTACAAATTGCCCCGTGAGGTTTATATTTGCATAACAAATTCAGGAGACAATTTATTATGTAAATATAACGGGATGTAATTTCTCAAACCTCAGGGGGAATCCATATTTTAGTCAAACCTCAAGGGTGTTGGTAATTTGCCCAAAAAAAAAAGAAAAACAAAAAACTCAATTTATAGAAAACTGAAACCAAACATACTGAATTTTTTCGGAAACTTGAAAGAGGATTTTTGTGCATTTTCAAAAGTTTGGGTGCATTTAAAATAAATGATCCAAAATGGATGCAGTTTCAAAGTTTTTATTATTTTCATTTTCAAATTATTCAGAAATGAGAAATGAAGAAGAATACCAAAAACGGTATACATTTCTTGATGAAACTTAAAGAGAAAAAAAATAGATCAGTACTCAGAAAAAACTCCTAGAAATAATAAAACCAAAAAAGAAAACAATTACATGTAATTGGCCCAAAAAGCATGCTTGTGCAGAAGAGAACGAAGAGAGACAGTATCAAGGATATGGAATTCAAAAGAGAGATTAGCCAAAAATTAGTGACATGATGTGGCCATTTCTACAGTATTTCATGTCTCTTGACAGTATCAACTATTGTCCTTTATAATTGGGTAACTATTCAAGTAAAGATGCTTTTTTGTTGCCAAAATTTGAATTGGAATGCATCCAATGTATGAAATGCAGGTGGTTAGTGCAGGTTATCATCAATGTTCTATTCCACAAATGCAATGCTCACCAAATGCCTCCTAAGTATAACTAGAAGAACAATTATAAGTGATGCACAATCAGTTCTAAGATGAAGCTAGATTACACATAATTTTAGTCCATCCATCTTGATGAACCAAGAAACAGTATGGAAGTATAATTCAAGTGAGGATCTTATTTGCTAAACATTTCTAAATATTAGTTCTCTCTCTCTCACACACACATTGCTAGCACACATGCTTTGAAAACGGTAATCAAATGGAAACCACACACATTTTCATTACACTAACACAAGTTAAAGCTCTTCACAACTGCTTTAGTAAACAGAATTTTAAGGAAGCCATTGTGAAAGTAACGTGATAAAAATTAAGTTAAACAATCATTGCAGAACCATTGTTTCACTTAAGTTTTTGAGTACATAGTGTTGGTGTTGAAACCTTGATTAAATTCAGAAGAAAAGTTAAAGCCATAAACAAATAAAAAGAAAATTGAGGCCTAATTGCATCTCTTATGACAGAATTGAGTAGCCTAAAACAATAGAGAAGAAGGAAGAAAAAAAGAATTCAATTAAGCACAAACCTGAAAGCTTTGGGAGGATATGTTGTTCCAAGAACCACTTGATACTTGACCTCCATCTACAGATATATGGTAACCACAACCCTGCACAATTTAAACAAACAAGAAATGACATTTATACGTATACTGTACATTGCTTGCAGCCTGGTTCTCTCAGTTTTTCTTTCAAGCAACCTGCAGTGACCACTTCTATCTTGCTATAGGACAATAAATGACTTAAAATAAAAAAAATGGATCCAGCTGGACCATTTGGAATACAAGTGTGGCAAGTATGTGTAATTGAATGAGCTTTTTACCATATTAATTACATATATCATACTAAGAATTCAATCCATGGTTAAAATGACCAAACCAAGATAATATTTTATATGCATGATGAGATTGACCCTACTTTGTCATGCTGAGGTGAATGACACTACATATTTAGATGATCACTAGTGGATGCCAAAGAAAATTCACTGTAAAAGTGCATGCTGTTTAACGAGGAATCCATATAACTTAGCCAACAATAAATGACTTTTAATTTTTGAAGTTAAAACATGAATGAAAGGAATCTTAATTACGTGTTCCTTTAATAATCATTCACCATAAAAGCTTTCATATACTCCATTCCTTAAACAGGGAAGAAGAAGAAGAAGGCTGAAGGAGAAAGAAAGTCAAAAGAAATGAAGATATTGATAAAGTTTCAACCTGATCAAAATTTGAGTAGAATGGTAGCACTCGGGGGTAATTTTGTACTATTCCCCATGATTTCTCAACAAGCGCCCACCAACTGCAAATCAAAAACATACGACAAATGAAGGTCAGCAAACAATTAACATGACCAGAGAGAGTTAGCATGAAGAATGTGAAACAGAAAGATTTGTCAGGTACAGAATTCTAATCATAACATGTAGAAGTTACACTGATAACACAGAAAGAACTTGCGATAATTGAAAAGCTGAAATTGCACAAGTACAGGCTAAAAATATATAATTTTCAGTGTTGCCTTTTCAAGGCCAAGAGTGCTACTACATTTCATATTTTCAAAGCTTAATGCAAATGGATTAAGAAAACCTATTAGTATTACTGAGATAGAAAGGTAATTAATATGGTAAAACCAGAGTTTGGAGATGAGAGCACAAACTTTATTGTGATGATAACATTGAAAGCTAGATATACCAAACCAAACCAAACCAAACCAAGCCAAGCCTTAAATCCCATCAAATGGGGTCGGCTACATGAATCCTTCTTCTCCACGCGGCCCTATCAAAGGCCATTTCATTAGTCAAATTAAGTAGATTCATATCTCTATTTATAACGCTAGTCAACGTTAATCTAGGCCTACCCCGTCCCCTAACACTTCTATCTACCGTTACAGCATCGCATGTCTTCACTACTGCCTCTGTTGGTTTCCGTTGAATATGACCAAACCATCTCAAACGATTCTCTCTCAACTTATCTTCTATTGGTGCTACTCCTACCCATTCCCGAATACACTCATTCCTAATCATGTCCTGTCTAGTCTTACCACACATCCAACTCAGCATCCTCATCTCAGCCACACTCATCTTATCTACATGATGTTTCTTGATTGCTATACAAAACACAAAACATTTGAAGAAGATAAAATTTTTTAACTTTCAAATTACAGTGTTCATCTATTGCACCATCTTGCGAAAGTGGTTTTAAATTTATCGGCCTTTAAAAAACATAAACCATCAATACATTATGCACAATATGAGTTAATCACATTCCAATACCATTTAATTGATTAAGATATATGAAGCATTCAAATGTGTTCAAGTTGGTGCCATATTTTGAAATTGGCAGGCTATACAACATGAGAGTTCCACAACACAAAGACTAGACAAAAGATGCTGCTTCACATTTGTAGATCTGTTATCCAGCAATATTATATAATAATATACATGTTACATAATACATGTATTGCAACAAGAATGAGGTTATTACCGGTTCTGAGCAGTCTGAAAATCAGGTGGTTGTTTAGTCTCATAGACCCACCCAGGAGCAAATATTGCAGCTGACACATCATCTTTCTTTAGTACATCAAGTGCAACATTGGTCTGAGGTGCAAAGGTTAGTATAACTATGTGGCATCTAAGAAATTATTACAACTATGTGGCATCTAAGAAATTATTTCACCATTCAAATAAGAAACAGCTAAAAAACAGTTCCTTCTAGCACACACACCGCCATATAAATTGACTGACTTAAGATGGTGTCATAAGAGTGAAGTTTGTCTTATTTGAAAAATTAGTACCACATAATTATGGTAGCTAATCTATCTGTTGGAGTGTGCATTGTTGGGTCCCTTCCCTAAAAACTTAAATTTTTAGGATTTCTGGTGATCAAGGAGGTCCTGGATTCAAGTCCCTCCATTAGCATTAGTTTCCCATCTGCATTCTATTTCTATGTTCAGATGAAGGCGACTGCATGTGCAAGATAAAGGTTGCACATGAGGGAGGCTGTTGGAGGGCTTGATATGCATTGTTGGATCCTTTTTCTAACATCTCAAGTTTTTGGGACTGGTGATTTAACAGTATCATCCTTCTTTAGCATATATCTGAATTTTTCTCCAACTGAGACATCAAAGAGTTAAAACCAAAAAATCTTCAAAAATCTTCGACCGTTCAAATTTGAAAGACATAATCAAAACTACCTAATAATTTACCAAAATTAAGGTAACAACATTTTCCACAGGAGGAGATCTAATAGACCATAACCTGCTTTCCAGTGTAAGTAGAAAACTCTACTATGCAAAGTAGGGGAGGCAATGACCATTGCTGGTTCTGATAATGCCACTTCTTTTGCATGATACTTCAAAAAGGAAGAGAAAATATCAAGGATGCATGCAATAATGCCGAGTACACTGTTAGCCTCATCGACGCATTATTGGTGTCCTGATGATTCTCCACTGACACAACTTGACAACCAGGATATGACAGGTTCATAACTCTGGTTCACACAATTACATTAATAGCCTTTGCCTTGGTTAATATACGATTACCTTTGCCCTGGAAAACTAATATTACTAATTATATGGAAAACGATTAAATACAGTATGATAATCATTCACAACAGAGGCCTTAATACCCTGATAAGTGTTTACGCTACCATAGCCATAACAAAACTAGCTCTGATACCAAATGCAGGATCTTCAAAACAAAAGTAAAGAACTAGATAGAAACTTTTACTTACAGAAAACTGAGCGGAAGCTTTGTTACAAAAGTTAAAGACTCACAAGATTCTTAACTTCTCAAGTATCAAGTGTAGTTATTTGGACTTGTCTTGATGCTTGAAACTCTAAGCTTAGACACCTATTTATAGAGAAAATATCAAGGATGCATGCAATAATGCCGAGTACACTGTTAGCCTCATCGACGCATTATTGGTGTCCTGATGATTCTCCACTGACACAACTTGACAACCAGGATATGACAGGTTCATAACTCTGGTTCAGACAATTACATTGATAGACGAGCCAGATTATGACAGGTTCATAATTCAGGCACATTATTGCAAAATATCTATAATACGACAGACTGATATTATTCCAACAGTTTTTCTCAGATGCCTGAGTATTGATAGAACTTAATGATGTCCTTAACATCTCTACAAGATAATCTTTCCAAATCACGGTAGGCCTCCTCTTGCATCAAAGTAGAACCGTTTATCCATTGTTTTCCTGTACAGAATGGCCAACAGAGATGGAGCCAGACGATATGGAGGTACTAATCGGCCTGCAGCAGTTAGAAGAACTTATCCAGCCCTTCAGAGACATGAACGGATCATCCTCTCCCAGACAGAGCCATCAAGTCGCTGGATTGATCCGACCATCTGTATACCCCTTGTTAGATCAACCTCCATAGATGCGAAGGTTGCCTGATCTCCTGTCCATCGGGTGTCTCGTAAGACTCATGTTCATTATGTGCCAAGCATTACTTCAACCTCACGACGTTCATCACTCGCAAAGCTCCGATCCCTTATAATCAGAAGCCTTTACTTCAGGAGCAGCAAGAATACATCAGGTGGTGTGAAGCTGAGATGAAACGCCTGCGAGAAGAGGCAATTCAATACAAGACAGAGCTTGAAGAACTGAAACTTGTCATGCAGCTTCAAGAGGATGAGCGAGATCTCAGAAGAAAAGCTTAAGCTGTTGGATCTTGCGTAACTGTTGGATTGCTGTTCTTGCCTGCTCAATGGCATTGTCTTCTTCTTCGGCGAGGCTGACCTGGATTTGATCTTCAAACAGTGGTGCTCCAGGTGTTGCTGTTGTTGGCCGTGGTTGGTTGGTTACTCGTGGCAGGGTCACCGTCCTTGTTCTGGATGTTGAGGCCATTATGAATTCTTAAGCCTGAGTTTATCAAGCTCAATCTGCAGCAACTTGTTCGGATCTCGATGAACTCTGAGAATTGTGTTCTGATAACACTCTTGCTGATGCTCTCTCCAGACTTGTTTATCCATTGTTTTCCTGTACAGAATGGCCAACAGAGATGGAGCCAGACGATATGGAGGTACTAATCGGCCTGCAGCAGTTAGAAGAACTTATCCAGCCCTTCAGAGACATGAACGGATCATCCTCTCCCAGACAGAGCCATCAAGTCGCTGGATTGATCCTCAATTTCATCCCATTGCTGTCCGATACCAATCTCTTCTGCAGCAAATTGAAGATAGGTTCACTTACGACTCAGGAATCCCCCTTGATGAAATGGCAGAAATCCAGGTCAGCCTCGCCGAAGAAGAAGACAATGCCATTGAGCAGGCAAGAACAGCAATCCAACAGTTACGCAAGATCCAACAGCTTAAGCTTGAAACTGTCGCCAGAGCCGCTTGCAGTGACAACCACTACTCAGATCAACTGCCAGAAGTACAACAGCAGACGTGTGAACTAAATGAAATTGACGGAGAATTATTTGATCTCGTCATGCTGATGAGAAGGTTTCGTTACTGATAAGATCAACAGGTGGATCTTATTCCATGCTTATCTCTTGGGAAGAACGTGGTGGGCATGATGTTAACATCAATAGTGTCGGTCAGTATCGTGTCGGTCAGTATTATTCCACTTTAATCAATACTCAGGCATCTGAGAAAAACTGTTGGAATAATATCAGTCTGTCGTATTATAGATATTTTGCAATAATGTGCCTGAATTATGAACCTGTCATAATCTGGCTCGTCTATCAATGTAATTGTCTGAACCAGAGTTATGAACCTGTCATATCCTGGTTGTCAAGTTGTGTCAGTGGAGAATCATCAGGACACCAATAATGCGTCGATGAGGCTAACAGTGTACTCGGCATTATTGCATGCATCATTGATATTTTCTCTATAAATAGGTGTCTAAGCTTAGAGTTTCAAGCATCAAGACAAGTCCAAATAACTACACTTAATACTTGAGAAGTTAAGAATCTTGTGAGTCTTTAACTTTTGTAACAAAGCTTCCGCTCAGTTTTCTGTAAGTAAAAGTTTCTATCTAGTTCTTTACTTTTGTTTTGAAGATCCTGCATTTGGTATCAGAGCTAGTTTTGTTATGGCTATGGTAGCGTAAACACTTATCAGGGTATTAAGGCCTCTGTTGTGAATGATTATCATACTGTATTTAATCGTTTTCCATATAATTAGTAATATTAGTTTTCCAGGGCAAAGGTAATCGTATATTAACCAAGGCAAAGGCTATTAATGTTTTTGTCTTCTCTCCAGATGAGAAATCCCACTCAAAGCATATTCAGACTATGCTTGAAATCTGCAGAACAAATGGGCTTATCCTTAGCCCAACGAAGATGAAAATTGGAGCAGTCCAAATTGATTTCCTTGGATCAACAATTGGACAAGGGGAAATAAAGTTACAACCCCACATTGTGACAAAGGTGGCCCAATTTCCTGATGAGACTCTCACAAATACTAAGGGCCTACGCTCTTGGTTGGGCCTTCTAAATTATGCCAGGCAATATGTCAAAGATTTGGGCCGAATGCTCAGCCCATTATACTCAAAAGTAAGCCCAAATGGTGAGAAAAGGCTTAATGCTCAGGATTGGGATTTGATCCATAAAATCAAGGAGAAAATCCAGAAACTGCCAAATTTATCTATTCCTCCAATAAAATGTGTCATCATCCTTGAAACCGATGGATGTATGGAAGGATGGGGAGGAATCTGCAAATGGAAGCCAGCTGTGAATGATCCTCGATCAACTGAAAAGATTTGTGCCTATGCAAGTGGGAAATTCAATCCCATCAAATCAACTATTGATGCGGAGATATATGCTTGCATGAATTCCTTGGATGCCTTCAAGATATATTATCTTGATAAGCCACAGCTAACTCTACGAACAGACTGCCAAGCTATAATTAGCTTTTTCAACAAAACAGTGGACCACAAACCGTCACGGTCTAGATGGATAGCATTTACGGACTACATCACTGGTCTAGGCATAGAAGTTACATTAGAACATTATCAGTCTGTCCATACATCCATCGGTTTCAAGGATGATGATGCTCATCATCGAGTTTATGTTCATAGATCTGAAGAAGCCATACTCTGCGTAGTATTCCATTCCGAAAAGATCAGTCCTGGTTTTGAGCAGAAATTCTCAGCAACAATGGAGAAGCTCAAAAATTATGGAATCATAGGTGATGATCCTATGAAATATTGGTCCAGGACAGGAGATCAGGCAACCTTCGCATCTATGGAGGTTGATCTAACAAGGGGTATACAGATGGTCTACATAGTTCCTAACACTATGATGACTATTGGTGATTTCTACAACCATGTTCAGGTTGTTATCCAAACACGCGGATATGGATAACTGGTTTAGAATCCCTTATACATACAGCTTCCCATTCCATCTCGGAGGCAGAATCCAGATGATAATCGGGTGTAATTTCATCCGAGCAATGTATGGAGGAGTCAGAATTGAAGGTGACAATGTTACATTCTACAAGAATGTAATCACAATCCAGACTCGACAGACAGTAAACCTCCTAGAAGGACTTGAAGAAGAAGAGGACTTTTCAATGGACCATTATTATGATCCCTCAACTGAGTGGGTATTCCATTCCGAAAAGATCAGTCCTGGTTTTGAGCAGAAATTCTCAGCAACAATGGAGAAGCTCAAAAATTATGGAATCATAGGTGATGATCCTATGAAATATTGGTCCAGAAATCAGATCACCTGCAAACTTTGATCTGAAAAATCCAGATTTCACAATCAATGATCGGCCAATGAAGCATGTCACCCCATCAATGAAGGAAAGCTTTTCAAAGCATATTGAGCAGCTTTTACAACTCAAGGTGATAAAAGCAAGTAAAAGTCGACATCGGACAACGGCGTTCATTGTAAACTCTGGTACTTATATTGATCCTGTCACGAAGGAAGAGAGACGTGGCAAAGAACGTATGGTGTGTAATTACAAGCGCTTAAATGACAATACACACAAGGATCAATATAGTCTACCTGGGATTAATACTATTATGGCAAAAATTGGTCATAGTAATATTTATTCCAAGTTTGACCTCAAAAGTGGGAAAATCTTCTTGGAGAAACGGAGAAGTTGATATGGATGCAATGGAGAATGAGGTATGCTGATGAATATGCAAACCTTATTGCCATAGGTGATGGTAATGAAGGAACACAGAATATAATTTCGCAGATGAGGACTGTGTTTACTCTGGAGGACCCATATCAGGGTTCTAGGGCATAATTGTAAGACTCAAAAACTTTTGTTAGGTTAGTTTACGTAATTCCTACCCTCCTCCCTCTGCTCCCATGAACCTAAAAAAGCTCATACCCATTGCACGAGAGTTCCACTTACAACAAAGTATGAGAGGTAGTATCTACGTAGCCAGCAGCTTCCCCCACTTTTTTGTTAATCAAAATTGCACTGCAATGCTTGGAGCAGATAGCCCTTGCCATTGCTCCAGGTCACGACCTCTCTCTTCCCATTAATCTGTTTCTCTCAATTGGTGGACTGTCACTTGTGCATAGCACATGCTTCACTGTCTATAATTGAAGAAGTCCATACCATTCCCTATTTCTCCATAAAAGCTGATGGGGACAAATCTTTTACCCTTTCAATCTAAGACTCTTGACCACTAATCAATGTCTAATTACTTCCCTTATTTTCCTTAAAACACGTGCCTCTATATGACAATAATGTCACCAAGAAGGTAAATAAAATGTAACCTTGAAATAAATCGTACCTTACACAAAATGAAACAAATGACCAGAAATGCTAACCTCTTCTCTCACAGAAATATTAAAAAAAAAACACAGCTCTCAAAAAATTCTTACGTCACACTAAGGTGTAAGATACACTGACTTACCAGGAGAAACCTTGTATGTTGCATTCTTATCCTCTACAAACCTAAACTACTATTGCAGAATTCTCTTTAACCATCCTTGAGCTTATTTTGAATAGTCAAAATGAAAAACATACTTATCAGAAAGAAAACTTTCCATCCCCAAGATATACTGAAAACTTCGTGGCTTTATTAGGTAACAAATGCCATAAAAATGCTTAACTGTATTGAATAACTTAATAGAAGAGACCAAGCAGAGGAAGTGATGAGAATCAGTGAAGGTACAACCAAAGAAGCACCAAACATTTATGGAAAAGAAAAGGGATCCGCCAGCAGTTAATCATGATACAAGCCTACTCCTATAAGTGAAAAAACTTGACACAACTATCATGCCCTAATTATTCATTTGTTACATTCTTTCTTCCCTCTACAAGAATATGCACATATGGAAGTCAAGATGACGTCTGACAACATCTAAACATCTACACAAACTCAAATTCATCTACTAGACAAATTTTTTAACAAGATACACTACGAGCTGATTCTTTGAATGAAATAGATATTTGTGTAGTACTCTGTTTAGGAAATAACATATTTGCAATTAGGTAGAAATTAAACACACATGCAGTGAATGAACTCAATTAGTGGATAATTCCAACAAACTGTAAACCAGGTCAGGATGTTGTGGACTAACCACTTTGATCTACAGTTTCAAAAAGTAACGAGTATACAAACAGAATTCCTATGATATAGAAAATGCCACTGCCACATCATTCTGGACGAGATTTATAAAAGTTCTGTTTGCATACCATTTTCCAACAGTAATATAAAATATCTAGAGCATAATGCAAGATGTCTAACACATAGCAGGACTGAATGTTACACTTACATCCCATTGTCCACCACCATAAGTGTTCCTCCCAAAAACATCAATGCCCATGTAAACATCAAACTTTCTGTTACCAGCAACAGCAGCTGAAAGTTTTGGATAGTCTTCCTGCAGGGAAAAAAAATAAATATGACAACATTCGGACCACAAAATAAAAATTCTGAACAAGAGCAAAGAAATAATGCAATACCTGCCATGTATAATTTACAAATATTCCATCACATATATCAAAGAATGGTTTATTACTGTCATTCAGTTGATCTTGCCAGCTAAGTTTGCCATCAACGGTAACACTATCATACCTGAATAGTCAATAATAAAAGACAGAATTGATAAGTTATCTATGTTTCAATAAGACAAAATCATTAGTACTTGCGGGCGGCGTATCATCTCATATGACTTACCATATAACTAAAGATCCAGGCACTGAGGAGTGCATTGTTGTAGTTAAATGGATGATAAATTCTTTTAGATTAGGGATTTGCCCTACATCCAAATCGACCTCCATATTTATCTACAGACATATTCAAGGTCAATGATGAAAAAGTAAACAAAAAGTCCTTCATGGGAACCATTTTAATAGAAGGAAAAGATTTTAGATTTAACCCCTTTTTTTATGTTTCTTGTCAAAAGCACTAAAACGGCATGAAGAATTTAGATTTTTCTCTGCGAGCCATGGAACTTTTTCAGTCATCCCTAGAGTTTTGTTTTTATTTTTTATTTTTTACATGCTTCAAATCGGAAAATTTAACCAAGCCAAACCATGCAGTCAAATTTTTAGATCATCTCATGACAACAGATTTTCAGGTCTGCATAGACTACAAAATACATCAAGAAGTTCATAAAAACAAGCTATCAAACAAATAAGTAGGGTGTGAACATAAAGAATGTGAACTCCATGAGAGAATAAAGAGGAACCAAAAGATGGCAGTGGCTATGTTGTAGAAAAAAGGAAAGAAAAGGAGACTTTACCAGCCACCCATCAAATCCCAAAGCAGTAGCTAGTTCAGTCAAGCGCTCAGCATACATGTGGGCAGACTCCTTCGTTGCTAGCAGTTTATTGGCATTATCCCTCCCATCATCCCATTCTGTGATGAAAGTCCCCAATACCTTATGTTCCATGGGAAGAAACAGAAACATTATGTGCAACAACAACTTCTTCAGTGGATTCTTTATAACCAAACAAGACTCTGTAGAACATTGAATCATAACCCACTATTCTGTGCATTCTGAATGACTAGTAAATCCTCATCAATTAAAAAAGAAACAAAAGAATAAGAAATTGGAATGCTTTATCACTTATATTTTCTTTGAATCAGTACTAATGTGTCTTCTCATCATCTGCCGAGTTAATTTGTGTGTCTGTTATATTTACATAAGCCATAGGCAGATCCAAGTGAGGATTCAAGTGAGGGTAATTGCCCCACCCCAAATTTTGGAGAATTTTCAATTTTCAGCCATCTGCCTGTTGTCACATATGTGGTTATAGGGCCACTCAAAAATTCCCTTGAGAGCATAAGCAAGGTAGTGACCAGAAAATTTATAATTACCCTTTTTGGTCTTTATCCTTAAAACATTGATAATCACTTCACGTAAATCAATTCCGTCAAAGGTCAGCTTGATCAGGTAGATTTTAACACTTAATTACCTTAACTTGACTCTGAAAAGTTCACAGCTGTGCAATGTTGAAAAAGTAAAGTAGTATATGAATTGTCTAAATTGCTTCATCAAGCTAAGTGTGAACATGGGGGTTTTGAGGCTGCCATTTCCACAAATGGACCAACGGCATCCTAAAGGCAACCGGGGGTGCAGAAAAATAGCTAACAACAACAAATATATGTACAGAATAGTGAGTTCAAGAAAAGAGACTACACATGCAATGACTTAAGGCCTAACTTTCCATAAATTACAAAGTGATCAAAAGATAACACCGACATGCATTCTCATGGCGACATGATGGTCTTTTATTATAAGAAATACATGCTCTATTTTAAATGTACAAAATTTATGAAAAGCAAGAAAACAATCCTAAATATGCCATATAACATATCATTTTAAACATATATTTACCTCATACGAGGAGTTGAGCCTAGAGGGCCCGTAAATAATGGCTGCTGGGGGGTTCCCCTAGGCAGGGTTTCGGGGGCAACGCCACTGTAGGCTGTAGCACAAAACTACTCAGATTTCTTTATTAAAAATGCACCATTAAAACCTATTTTTATGAAATGTAAAAAATGCAAAAAATATGAGTAAAAAATAGAATGTTCACTAGCGTGATTTGAAAAATACAAAGCTCCCGGCCTTGTTCCTCCAGTGAAATTCCCTCAGTTGTGAATGATCATCTTTAGGAAACTCTAGGCAAAGTGATACATGTTTGGTTATGGATATTGGTTTTAGAGGTGATATAGAATGTAAGAATAGAGACTACAAACAAAGAGCTAGAATCTTTCTCTCATCAAGATTAGCTCCAGAGTGACAAACTTCTCTCTCTATGTTCCCCCCCTTTACAATGGTTGAATAATCCCTTATTTATAGGCTAAGAGGTCCAAAAACAAGCATAAGGCCATTAGACAACTTTTTGCCTGGATTGGTCAAGTGCAGTTGATAAAGGTGCGAAGACAGTGCAGGAAAAGTCAAAGCAGCACATGCCACATCAACACCTCCCGCACCATACGGCCCTCTAGTGCGCACCACTCTGGGGTAGATTTGTACTTATTACTTTTTTGCAGTATAGAGACCACCATTAAATTCTTGTCTACAAGCGCATGTCAACAGCCTATTGATGGTCTGTTTTTTTGGGACAAACTCTCTGTTTTGATTTTGGGATGGTCTGAATTGGTTCGACAGAGTTCAAAAGTTTTGCGCAACCCTTCCTCAATCACATTCTCTAAGGAATAGTTCTGTTTCTTTCTTCGTCATCGGGAATATCATGGAGGTATCCAAATCTTATAGTGGAACTAAATCAGGTGTCTACACTAAGGTTACATCAAATAATCTATTTTATGGCACTCGGTAAAACACGTCCCTTGTACATTGTTCTTCCCAGTTTGATATTATCAATTTTATCCCAACTTCGGAATATCATGGCACATCTCATATCTCCTAATCCATGGGACATCATAAAAATTTAAAGGCTTCATAGAGGCATAACATGCACTTCAGGTATCAAGTTAACTAAGTTTCAATTTCCCCATAAAAACAATTTTAACTTATAAATTAAAAACAACTTTGAAGCAAATCATAACAATATAACTACGGAACATAAGTTCACCCCCTTGAGTAGATCGGATGCAATAGTACTCACATTTATGAAATCAACAAGGCTAAAGACATAGAATCAACCACAGAAAACAATCCTGACTATCGCAATAAATCGGGAGCAGCTCATCTCCACTCCATGATCAGACTATTCATCTTGTGGGCCGGGCCCATCTTGATGATCCAAACCGTTCATCTTGTGGAGCTCGTCAAGAACATTATTCATACCAAAATCAAGTCGATCAAATATCGATAACCACTTGATTGGATTGCATTTGTCTTGAAAAAAGTAGTCCATGATCAGACTGTTCATCTTGTGGGCCTGCATTGGGTCCATCTTAACAATCCAAACCGTTCATCTTGTGTAGCTCGTCGAGAACATTATCCGTACCAAAATTAAGTTGATCAGATATCGATAGCCAATTAATTGGATCACATTTGTCTTAAAAAAAGTCCGTCTATTTTATAAGACAAATATGATCCGATCAAGTGGCTACCGATGTCAAATTGACTTGATTTTTGGTATGAATAATGTTCTCAATGAGCCCCACAAGATAAACAGTTTAGATCGTCTAAACGGGCTCAATGTGGACTGAACTGGACCTCTCCAGTCCGATCATGGACCAGAAAGGAGCTGTCCCCCCAACAAGTCTATGGACACAAAACCCACCACAAAACCAACCCCGTAAAACATAGGGGGAGCAATCTGAGTGAAACTATAAAATTATGATAAGCTCCACCATATAATATATATAGCCAAGATTGTTTTATGTTATTGGTTCTGTGTCTCTGTAGTCTTTGTTAAATTCAATGTATAAAAAGAGAAATACAGAGAATGAATTATGTATTGATCAATATATTGAATGGTATGAATTTGTTATATTACAATGTTCAGATGACTCTCTTTTATAGAGGAGGGAGTGTTACAAACGATGTCAAATTGACTTGATTTTTGGTATGAATAATGTTCTCAATGAGCCCCACAAGATAAACAGTTTAGATCGTCTAAACGGGCTCAATGTGGACTGAACTGGACGTCTCCAGTCCGATCATGGACCGGAAAGGAGCTGTCCCCCCAACAAGTCTATGGACACAAAACCCACCACAAAACCAACCCCGTAAAACATAGGGGGAGCAATCTGAGTGAAACTGTAAAATTATGATAAGCTCCACCATATAATATATATAGCCAAGATTGTTTTATATTATTGGTTCTGTGTCTCTGTAGTCTTGTTTGTTGGTTGTGAAAAACCAAATTTCAATGTCAACTACTCAAATTCCGATAAGAAGTTCATAAATTCACAAGCTCCTTCCCCTTATCCCTTTAAACCAATCAATACAAAAGTGAATCCAACTTACACAACAGCCTAGCCAATTTTTTAAAACCAATTTCAACTTCAATTCACTCAATTATGCTAAAATACAAAACATGGGTAATGAATATAATTCAATCACCATACCTTGACACCATGCTTGTGCGCGGTATTAGTCCAACACGGAGGCGGGATAGTAACCAAAGTATGCGAAAAGTAGACAAAAACATCGATCAAATACCAGTGCCATATCGCATACGCATCTGAATTAGTCCCTCCTTGAACCCACTTATCATCTATATACCCTCCAGCCATGTCATGACAGACCAGAACTCTCGGCCGATCAGCCAATCTAGACTGCAGAGCCACCGAGGCCTTGTTGAATGGGAAGTGAAACGAATCGAAATACGACCTTGACTCGAGGTCGTCTAGGGTTTTGATCGGAAAGGAGACTGGAATCGCCGGCTTCGACGGATCGAACGGCGGAGGATCGGCGGAGGACTGGTTTTTGCTGGTGGTGGTCATTGGGAGGCAGCGAGAGAAGAGAAATTTGTAGATTGGTTGGAGGAGGTTTCGAATGGAGACTAGGGTTTGGCGGTTTAAATAGGCGCGAAAAAAAATCAGCATTGGAAGTGGAGATGCAGAGAAGAGCTTTAAAACAAACAAATAGAGCAGACGAGTGGCGGACTTGACTTGGAAAAAGACTTGGAGAAGAGCATTAACACAAAAGGCGTGGCGGACTTGACATGGAAAAAGACTTGGAGAAGAGCATGTGCGGAAAAAAATTAAGATTTGGAGATGTGCTCCTGATTTTTTACTTTTGATGAATAGTGATAATTTTTTAATTTTTTAAATAATTTTTTATTCTTTTTTAACTTGTCGAACTTGAATATGGTATGTATATTATATTCATTATATATATTAGATGTTATAATTAGATTTTATCATATTAAAATATTTCTATTTGTGCCCACTCTTACCTTACTTATATATAAGGTCAAGTTTGACATGATTGAAAAAAGACAAAAAGTCAAAAAGTCACTATCCTATTTAAGTCACATCATCTTATTTAAATCACATCACCTCTCTAACACATCACTTCAAACCCAACCCAAACTCAACCCATATTTCATAAAAAGTCAAAAAATACACTTATTTAGTCTTCCCAAACTAGGCCTAAATCTCTTCATTATATTACAAGATGCATAATATTAAATATACACATAATATAATATTATTTTTCTTAAAAATTGAAACATTGAGAATCCGAACCCTTTCATTTTTATCACGCAAGAATAAGGTTTTGATACTACGATGGATCGAATTTGCTTTACTTTGCTTTACTTTACTTGATGACCCAGAATCGAATCAGATTTTTTGAAAATACGAAAAAAATTGAAATGGAATCAATGAACCATGTGTAAATCTGACACTTTCAGGCATCAAACAAAATAAATAAAAGTTCAGCTCATTACTCGAGTTTAAATCTTGTTATTTATCTTTTCTAATTTTTAATTCCAATTGACAAGTACCGCTTTTAAGAACAAACTATTTATCTTTATAACATTATAATAAAAAAATTATATAATTATGATTATTTAATGAAAGTTTTTTTTTAATAAATCTCATTCGTAAAATTTATGCTTCATTTAATTTATTTTTTTTTTAACATTTTATTAGGTACTATTTGGTGTAATATGATCAAATCACTTTTTAACTTCCTGCGCTTGTTTTTATTTGAAAATTAATATATAATAAAAAATAACAATGATTTCTTATTCTATGGATAAATCTCTTCATTATTTTATGGATAAAATCTTTTCTTATTTTAAGGAAAAAAAATCTCTTCGTTATTCTACAGAAAAAATCTCTTACATTCTCAAAATCCTAAATTGTCTATCTTCTAAAAATTTCTCACTAAATGTTGATATGAACTTTTACACTACAAATGCATGCTGATAAATAACATCTTCTCATGAAATTATATACACACTCAACGTTACATAAGTGTAAGAACATTAACATTGGGTGCGACTTCCTATTTGGGAAGATAGTAAAATGTCACTTTTTGATTTTTTAACCTATTTTGAGTCACATCACCTCTCTATTCTCTTACATATTTTTTCAAAAAAAAAGACAAAAAAGACAACCAAAAAAAAAAGTTAAAAAACCAACTTTTAACCAATTTTCTAAAACAATCCAATGTTTGTGACCAAAATAACGCATTGTTGTTTGTGCTAGTATGACTACTTATACAATTAACTTTCGAAAAAACAAAACATATACAAAAATACAATGTGAATATTCACAATAAATAACAAACATACAAATAATCTTAAAAAAACATACTCATATCAAAATATAATGTGAATATTCACAGTTTATAATTAATATACAACTACCCTTGAAAAACTAAACTTATACTAATGTGAACAATCACACTGCAATGTGAAAATAAAAGTGAAAATTGACTATTTTGATTGTTCAGTGGTAACAAAAATGATTGTTCAACCAATAAGCATAGCAACAAAAATAACAAACATACAGCTAACCTTTTAAAAAATAAAATTCATATCAAAATGCAATGTGAATGTTCATAGTTTACAATTAACATATAACTAGTCTTAAAAATAACTAAAATTATACTAATATGAACATTCATACTGCAATGTGAAAATACAAAAAAAAATTAAAAATAAAAAAAATCGACTATTCTGATTGTTCAATGGCAATAAAAATGATTGTTCAACCAACAAGTATAGTAACAACAAATTATCAAACAATATATAAAATCATCAAATAGTTTATATCTTAGTTGCACGAAGCGGGAGCGGGAGCGGGAGCGGGGAAGCGTGAGCGGATAGAAGTTTCTTAGGTTGGGAGCGCCTCGGGAAGCGGAAATATATATATTTTTAATAGTTATTTTTAAAATATATTTATTATATAAAGGTGAGTTAAATAATTATTTTTAAATATACTTATTATTTTTATCTTAGATATTATTTTTATACATAATATTTTTAATTTGTTTATATATATATTTTTTAATTTTTAATTGATATATATTATAAATAAAAAACAGTAAAATAATAAAATATGTTAAAAAACAGTAAAGTAATAAAAAATAGTAAAATAATAATTTATTTTATAAATCTTATTAGATTTTTTTTATTATATTTGATTTAATTAGATTTATTATATTATTATATAACAAATTATATTATTTATATAATAAAGTATATTATCTATTATATTATTATATAACAAATTATATTATTTATTATATTTATTATATGTTAGAAACGGCAGCAGCACAGATCGAAGAGGGAGAGAGAGAGAGAGAGAGAGAGAGAGAGAGAGAGAAGAAGAAGAAGAAGAAGCAGAAGGAGGTGAGCTGCTCGAAGGCGAGATCGATCGCGATGGCGATGTGGAGAAGGCGATGGTGATGGCGATGGCGATGGCGAAGGCGATGTGGAGAAGATCGATCGCGAGCAGATTGCGAGAGCAGATCGAAGGTTAGGAGCAGATCGAAGGTCCAGGCGATGTCGAAGGTCGATCTCGAAGGTCCAGGCGATGTCGAAGGAGAAGGTAGCAGCGAGTTCAGGTTTCTCTCTCTCTCTCTCCCCCTTGCGATCCCATCTTGGACTGGATCGCGTTTCTGTCTCCACAGAAACGCGATTCCTACACGTTTCTTTCTAGGAAGCGCAGAATCGCGATTCTGACTCCGAATCGTCACCAGATTGCACGATTCTTGCAACTAAGGTCTACACAGGGGATTAAAGAGTATGCGTCAGAAGTGAAGATCATCAGCTGATTGAGGCATAGGAATTTGGTGCAACTTCTAGGTTGGTGCCATGAAGAAAAAGAACTCTTACTTCTCTATGAGTTCATGCCCAATGGTAGCTTGGACTCTCATTTCTTCAAAGGCAACACCTTTTTGACATTGTTAACAAGGTACCATATTGCTCAAGGCTTAGCCGCGACATTGTTGTACTTACACAAAGAATGGGAACAGTGCTGTTGCACAGAGATATTAAATTGAGCAACATTATGTTGGATTCAAATTTCAATGCTAAGCTTGAGAATTTTGGGTTAGCCAATCTTGTTGACCACGGGAATGGGTCACAGACCAGGATCCTGCCCAGGACAATGGAATACATGGCTCCTGAGTGCCTCATGAAAGGCAAGGCCTACCTATGTTACACGGACTCTTCAAAATAAATCAAATACCCGTGTCGGACATCTGACACTCGGACAAGGGTATGTGATATGTGCTGGATACTTTTCAATGGATACTTCTTATATAATTGTATATAACACTATTATTATATGAACATATTGTTGTATAATTGCTATAAATGTCATTTTGATACTGTAAATTACATATAGTACCATTTTATTTCACATACTAGATTAAAAATATAAAAATATGACATTTTTTTGTGGATTGCAAGTGCATTTTGGAAAGGAGCTTCATGAAATATAAAATTCAGTTCACTTACAGGTGAGGATTTTGATTGTGATAGTTGTTATCTGTCATACAAAAACTGGTATGTATAGTTGATCTCTCCTCTCTTGCTGTAATCATTTGCTTCTGATATGGCATATTTAATGATCCCTCTAATAATCTTGAGCTATAATATTTAATTCTAAAATATTGAGATTGCACATCAACAAATCCATTAAGCTAAAATATTTAATTCTTGAGCTATATGCTTTGAAGGGTTCCTAATTAACTATACTAATTCTTGAGCTATATGCTTGGAAGGGTTCCTAAAATCCAAAATAGAAGAAAAAGAAGAACTTGAAGTAGACATGTAGAATGAATCTAAAAAAAACGGAAGATATATATATATATATAGAGAGAGAGAGAGAGAAGATTAAATTACCTGAAATGAGAAGAATGAGAAACAGAACAAACTTGTGTCTATGTGGTGGTGGTGTTTGTTTTTTGTTTTGGTTTCAGAGACATAGGCCTCTTTTGGGTATATGGTTTTTAGCCACTTTTTTGAGTTTATAAAAGCCAAAAGTTAGCTTTTTTGTATTTAAAGACATTTGAAAAGTTGGTTTTTAATAATTGGTGAAATTATAATTCTACCTCTCATGGGTCAAAATATGTTACATAGGTGAAATTGTAAATATTTTAAATTAAATGTGGATAGTTTGATCATTTCATTGTGATTTGATATCATAAATAAATATTAATCAAAAAAGTCAAAAGTACCTTTTTATTAACTTCTCAAATCATTTGTTTAAAAAAGTCAAAAACTTAATTAAACGTAAAAAAAATTATTTTTTACCATTTTTCCAAAAACATCCCATAGAAGGGTATGAGAGAGAGAGAATGTTGAGCAATTCAGAGAGATAATGTAAGATATGTATAGTAGTTAGGTAAGGGAGGAGAGTGGTTGGGAATTGAGAAGAACGAGTAAGAAATGGTGTACAATTCATTACCAACATAATATAGAAAAACATATAGAAATAAATATAGAAACCCATATCAGTTGCTATCAGTTTAAAGCAACAATTACTTTGGGCTTTATTTTATTTTTTAGAGCAATAAAGGAAGTTAGGTTGCTAGACATCAAGTCCATTTCGTATTAAATTCGTATTATGAATACCATGTTCTACAACTTAAAAAAAAAAACTTTTACATCATTAGGTGAAGTTTGGATATGGTGTTTAGTTTT